CGATATTGTTGATTTGATAGCAATCAAAAGCAATTAAGTTAATTTAATCATTATTTTCTTATTTTGTGTATGAAATATCGCAATGATTTCATATCCCTATTTGGAAATACGTTATTTTTATCTAGGTTCTAATATCCCAATATTAAATTCCTAACTTATTTCTTTAGTATTAATAATTAAAAAAAAAAAATGTTTAAATTAAACTTCGTATGACCAATATGCATCTCAATATAAAAGAGAATAAACCAAAGGATTTTGAGGAAAAAATTTCAATTACTTGTATGAGAGTTATAAACATAAAACAAATGCACATGCAATTCATTTCAATTAAAATAATTCTTTATAGTACAGAAAGTCATTTTAGTATCTAAACAATGTAATGTTAATATTAATCTTGATGTGGTAAAATATGATACCATTGCATTTATTCTCAATTGTAACATGGATAATAATATTAAACATTACAACGAAAAAGTGAACATGTCAATAATTGAGAATCACTCATACTCTGTTTAGGAACTTAAATTTATTTTGCTGATTTAGAAAAAAAAACAACCCGATCAATAAACAAATGACGAATTTCAAGAAAAATGCACAGTGCACACTTTAATATTCATAAGATCATTGAAGTTTAGAATATAAATTTTCTAAGAAAAAGACCTTATGTTAACTATCACAGTTAAAGTGAAGAAAAATTATTTAATTCAAACTGTGACAATTTTGCATGATTTCTTTATGCAAAATGCCCCCGGTTAATTTAAATGATACTTTAAATTTTGCATACAACTTATATTTATGTTGATTAACATAATTCATGTTGGTTTCAAACATTCCATAAAATAGTATGATCTATTGCATATGCAAAGCATATACGAACTTGAGTTATTAACCATAACATCATGTTGTTATACAAAGACACGTTTGTATGATAATGTTAAAATTTTACATTAATATTACAAGTAACGTAACTATTTTTCTTCTTAGTTAATTTGTTTTATGAAATTTTGATTTTGTTATGAATAATAAAGATCATTTTCTAGGACAATGAATTGGGAATTAAATTTTTATTTTGAAAATTATATAAAAAATTTTTTGTTGTAAAATTTTAATAAAAGTTCTTGATGAAACAAAAAAAAATGCAAAAAATTTTGTAGTATTTCTAAATTTAAATATGTATACATATACATTTGCAGACACGTACAATGCACTGTTGAACATCAATGTATATAGACCCTCATGAGTAATGTAAAACTTTTACAAGAGACCACGTTCACAACTCAACAAATTCTATAGAAAATTGTTTGATGGGCTGAAAATCTGCATCGTTAATTTTTTTAATTTTATTGCAGAAAAAAATTGGAACATTAGCAGTTACATACTTTGTTTTTCTTAATAACTTTGAAACCATAACAGATAGACAGATATGCCGAATTAAAGTAATAAAATTGATAGCTGTACTAAAATTAGCTAAAAAAGCTGCAAAATTTTTGTCCGTAGGGTTTCAAATCAGATTTAATTATTTACCTAAATTAAGATTTACTTCAGATAGATAAATAATTAAATTCAAAGAGAAAGAAAAAAGAGAATGAGATTAAAGTCCTGTAACTCAGAACGTGTTTAGCTATGATTATAACTTCTATACAAAAGTTTTACCTATTTATAGTGATCTACACAAGGTTACAGTCGTACAAGTAGACAGTCGAAAATAAACAAAATTTTTGTGTGGATCATAGTGCCAAAACAAAATCGTTTCGAAGCTACAGGAATTTGAAAAATTCTGCAATTCCAAAAAAGATACAGGATCCAAACAAACTATATATGTTCATTATATATATATATCATTGAATAATGTTCATTATATATATATCATTGAATAATGATATATATATATAATGAACAGCACTTAGTTACAAAACATCTTGTATACCAACTTATTATACCAAATTTTTTATTATATATATTTTATTATAAATTTTATTAGATACATTTCGGGATATGCTATTTATTCCTTTATTACACTCACATACCTATTCAAGAACTTTTGAAGAAAATTGTTTTAAAACTGATCTGTTGAGAATGTGAAATTGCAAGCATTAAATTTTTTGAAATTTTTCCAATATTTTGGCCTTTACTTTGCAAATGGTATAAAAATTGTGGATCAATGTAAAATTATAAATTGCTAGAATAATAAAAATAATATAATTATTTTAAAATTTAAATATTTTTCTCCATTATTATTTAAGATTAGTACCATAGCCATTACTTTTCTGGAGTAAAATAAATTATCTATTAAAAATTGTCTATAATCTTCTTGAAATAAAAACCAAAACTTTAAGTTTTAAATATTTTTTTACATTATTCCGGTTAGAAAGATTAATTATTTCGCCCCAAACTTATATAATATGTACATAAATAATTAAATTACTGCGTCATAATATTTCCTATGTGGCACCTTGTATCACAACGTATAAATAATATTATTACATCCATTACAAATATTTTGAGTGATGTTATTCATATTTGAGTGTGTGGTGATGTTATTCTTCCACATAGTACATAAAATTTTAGTGGCAAGGAATACAAATAAATGACCGCAAAACTTGTATATATACAACCACAAGTATATGTAAATTATGGAAATTTAAAATTGTTTTTGTGATGATTACTATTGAGTTGAGAAAAATATGAAATTTATTAAAAAAAACATCATTAATATTTTATTATTTGAATAATGCATTTTCAAAATATGTGAGTAAAAATCGGACGTTTATTATTACGGAATTAAAATTATTCTTTTCAAATTCCACACGAATGCGATTATCGTTTCTACAGTTTGTTTGTCATTTCGTTCGTTATTCTCGCTATTTCTAAAAAAATAATTTAATCACATCCATCTAATTTTTACAAATCGTTTAAAAAAGTAAATGGTATATAATGCTATATATGATCACATAACTAAATTCTATCCGGTTTCGTTCGACATTTTGCCGTTTTCTGATTTTCGAAGTGTAAATTATGTAAAAATTTTTAAGAAATTTTTGAAAAGCAACTCTAAATAAATAAAAGTCCTGGCCATTAATTTTTCATAAAAGTATTTCTTTGCCCCACTTCACATAATTTCAATAGATAAAAGGATTTTTCCTATATTACATGTCCTAGAATACTTAAAACTCAATTCTTTTCACTTCTACTTAAAACTTTATAATAAATATTTAAAATAGAATTTAGATATTAAATTCCCCTTTCAATTTAAAGCATTTGAACATAATAACCTTTAAATTAATTTAAATTGAATTTTACTTTTTGTTTCCTACTTTGTCGGCCTCCAAAATAATTATTTTTAATATTATTTTATTGTTTATTTAATTATTAATTTTTATTTATAATATTGATAATACTGCAGAAGAGGGCCAATTAAATTAATTGGTTTATTTCATTTTATATTAAAATATTTATTATATAAGAATAAGAGTGTACACATAGAAAAACCGGCAAAAATTTCAATTCATTAGCGATAAATTTAAACATTAATACCATCTAATCGTATTTTACAGTATAATATTCATAATTTTAATTTTCATTATAAATTAAATAAATTTAAATAAAAAACCAGCTATTAAAAATAAAATAAATTATTTTCAAACTGAATAATATTTATTCACCATCAACATCAAACAAAAATAATAAAATAAATTATTTTCAAATGTTATAAAAAGAAAGATATAAGTACATATATAGAAAATTTTTTTGAGAAACTCGAAAAATGAATTTTGGAATTCATTTTATATACCTACTCTATTAAAAATATTTTGTTTTATGTCCATTTCATAAAATTGTATACCTTTATACCTACATACATATGTATATTAGTTATAATATTGTACAAATACCACTTTTAAATTTCACAAGAAAAAATTTATGAGCTATTTCAGTTGAGAAACATGCATATACGAGTACACTTTAATTCATAAATTATTTTTCAGCATAAATATACATAAAATTTAATTTAGTTTAAACCGTCTCTACTTACACTAGATATTTTCGTAAAGCAATTTACTCGCACTGGCGTCCACGAGACCCTTATGTGTAAATTTTAAATGGCCGAAAAACACAAAGCATAATTTGCAAGAAAAGAAAGTTTTCTTATCGTCTTTCATTTTGCACCAAGAAAAATTTATTTTTCTTTATAAGTTTCCAATAAAAAACAAAAAACTAAAATCCAAATTTCTTACACATCACACACACAGCGGTCTCTCAGACCCCAAATTGACTTTAAGAAGAAAATTTACATATATTTCTCGAATTGTTTATACTAACTTTGAAATTCAAATCAATAAATTAAATTCTGTTGGGGTCTACCAGTCTGAGTATCCCAGATTAAGGATCTACTAATATTTTTGGCAAACTACATACTGTATGAGATTTAAAAAAAAAAAAACCAACATCCTTTTATTTCATTAACTACCTACTAAGGCTAGGGGGAAAATCAGAAATTTCATGATTTAAAAAAAAATTAATAATACTTTATTAAATAAAATCAATAATTCGTATTTGTTGCAGTACATTCAACGAAAATTATTCGAACAAATTAGAAGGTGTTCGTTCCACACACAAGAATTCAAGATAAATACGTAAGTTGAATAAAATATAAAACCAAAATGACAAATTTACATTATTGATGATCTCAAATGCTATTATTCTAAATCCAAAATGCTAAATTAATTCATCTCAGTCCTAGTTGATTCTGTGTATTTATAGCTGCGCTCTTTAATATCTATAAGAATTGAATATAACAAACGCCTACTACATATTTCTAATCACAATAAGGCACAACAATATTAAATACATTTTTGATTAAACTTAATTTTCATAGTAACTTCATTATTATTTTTCAAATGAAAAATATTACAGCTTTGTCTTAGTGAATTCAAGGTCTGCTCTTATCCAAGTCCAAATTAAGAAAAAAAAAATTTTTTTTTTAATAAAAATAACATAAATACCTTATATCCTTCACCACAATTAAAAAGCTGTTGCTTTTTCTTATCATCTTTTGAATTAGAAGGTACACCATCGACTGTATCTGTTTCAATATTGGAATTTTCTCTTGATGCTAATGTCAATGTAAATGTCGTTGAATTTTCACCATCTATTGAACCATCGGTAGTCAAAATATCGGTGGTGGTAGTAATGTTGGCAGTAATATTGGTGTTGGTGTTAGCAATATTGTTACACCTTTGAGAATTTTCATTTTTATTTTCATTTTGCTTATTTTCGTCATCATCTTCAGCAGCAGATAATACGGTTCCTTTCCATTTTAAAAGACTTTCATTTCCTTTACATGAACGAGAATAAAAAAAAAAATATGGTATAGAAAATTATCAAAAAAGTAAAAAAAAAAAGTATAAAAAAAGCACTAAAAAAAAGAGGAAAACAATAACAATAGAATGGAATTTTGTTTGTTTTTATTTTTTTTTTGCTTTCTTCAAAATCCTTTTAAAAAAAAATGGTGTAGGTGCAAAATGAAAACAAAGCAATGAACCAAAATAAAATTAAATTTCTTCTGTGTTTACCTACATATTTTCTTTTTTTTTTAAAGGATAACAACAATAAGAAATACGAGTATATCTATATTTAAGTGAATGTACAAGTTGTTCATTTTATGGTATTTAAACGTGAGGTACGTGATTTGGAAGATTTTAAAATTGTTCAAGGAGATCGACAAAAACTGTATTGGAGCAAACCTAAATAGTGTTTTTGTTAATATTATGAAAATTTATACAAAATTTTTGAAAATTAACCCGAAATTCTGAATTATCTCTCAACCTCTTTGATATTATACTTAAATTTGGCTCTTAAGTAGTAAATTTAATAATAACTTATAAAAATTATTTCTTATTTTCAAGAAAAATAAATTGAATTTCAACAATTTTGTCTTTGGCAACTGGACGGACTCTTACTAATATTTTTGTTCGGATTAATACGGGTTTATACCTAATAAGAAGTTCCTAAGAGCTTTCATGTGTTATACTTTGTAGAAACTTTCCCTAATTTCAATTTAATTGTTCCAGTGGAAAGCGCTTTGTGAGAACATTCCTTTAATATTTTTTTACATATTACTTTTAAAATTAAAAAAATTCATTTTACGAGCTGACCTTTAATTCTCGAATTATGTATAATAAACATGTATAATTTCGAACATACCAGATTTCCATACGATAAGAATAAATTTCCCTGGCATAAAATCTCATTTAAAACTGTTTATTTGACATCTGCTGTCAGATTATGATACAACAAGTAGGTGTATCTTAACTTGAACATTTTGTATCTTTTTAAGTTTAAATATGCAACAACATTATATTTTAAGAGCCCCTTCGTTTTCGTTTTTCCTTTTACTCTTCATTTTTGTTATTCGATTCCTTTCTTATCCTTTGTTTTTGGACATTGTTTACATAAAAAATACATGTATGTAAATAATGGCATTTTAAAGAATCTTGTGAAAGAACATTGAGATCAAGAGGTATAGAATAAAATTCATTGAGAAAAAAAAGCTTTATATATTATGTATAGGTATATAAGGTTTATAAACGAATGTATAGCATTGTGTTATAAGATATATAAGAGATATTAAAATGAAAACCCAAGGGAAATTTTATCAGAATTTTATGATAGTCACTAAGGGATTACATAAAATAAAAAGTAAAATATAAAACAGATTGAATATTTAAAATATAAAGAAAAAAAAAAAGAATATTGGACTTAAAATATTTTTTAATGGAGCATATTAAACATTTTGTCACAATAATAATTTATTTTAATATAAAATTAGAGCTATGAAATCAAATTATTATATCACGTCAGACATTGAATGGAATGAAATTGTTCAAAAAATAAGAACCGGTAATTTGGTATCTAAATATAGAAAATTATTTCCGTTTTAAGAAAAAGATGGAAATAGCGGCAATTTGAATTGAATTTTCAACTTATTTTTCTTAAGAAATCTTCACTCGTATGTGAATCGTAAATGAGTGCTTTTGATTCACAATATCGGTTATATAAAGCACTGAACTCCCGGAGGTATAATCCTTTATGCGTACGCTATGAAAGATAACTTGTACACAACTGAAGCATCTGGTTGAACAGAATTATTACTTTTACACCAATCTACATATTATATAGTTTGCAATTTTTCCTGCGAAATATCTTGGTATTCCTGAAAAAGGTCTAATTTTTGAAAAATATCAATTATTTCTAAGAAAATTTATTTAGTACGTTCCATACAATTCAAAATTCTGTCAATTTCTTTTAAAAGTTATTGAGAAAATTTCATTTTCTTTAAATATTTTGTACGCTTGACTTTTATTGATTATATAATAAGAGTTTGTCATATTTTAACAAAAATAAATAAATAAAGGATAAGAGAACTTATTGTCTAAAAATTTATTTTTCAGAAAAAAATTTGAGGAGAAAATTAAGAAGATAGTTCAATGTTATCAATGCTATTTTAAAAAAAAAACTAGAAATGTTTTCATTGAAATTATAATTTACAGAAAAAATTCGTGAAACTGGAAAAATCGGCCATTATAATAATCAATATTAACGGTATTTCTAACATTTATTCATTCAAACCAACCGTACCGTTTAACCGGTTCAAAAGAACCAAGCGCGAAATGGATAAAAAACATAGTAAAGAAAAGGTTACGAGATAACTAGTATTGTAGGGACATGTCAAAATGAAAATTTTTGGCTACCTAGAATCGAAGATGAAAGAATTTTTTTGGACGTAAAACTTTATTATCCAAAATTAAATATAAATCATAGATCTTATTGATCCTGGAAAATTAAGTAAGTTACCTCTTTCTATTTAAAGATTTATCTGTAAAATAAATTTTAAAACCCATTAATTTTTTTTTTAATTTAAAATTTCCCAAAAATCTGTTATAAAGTTTCTGGAGCTTTCTTGAAAATACTCTAAATATTTCATATTTTAAAATTATGGAAGAACTAAACTGAACTTTTCAAGAAAATTGTGAAAAAAAATAAAAGTAACCAACATTGTGTCAAATGTTTTATTCTCTGAGTGCTTAAGAACTCATATCCAAAAACTTTAAAATTTTCAACAAAACTATACTATTTTAGTTGCAATGATAAACTGTCTTAACGATTCTTGTTTTGTGTTTAAACCTAATATTCAAATTTAATATTAAAATAATCTTTATCCTTAATAAGTACTCTTTATTGCTGCAAGAAATCTTTAAAATGCAAGCATATTATACACAGACATTTTTGCACAAAAATGTGTGTTTTGGAAATAAAAAAATTTGTGCACAAAAAGCTAAAGTATTTTCTTGCGAAACTTTAATTGTTAAATAAGTACATGATAATTATAAGCTCAAAACTATTATAAAAATTCATAAGTTCCATTTTTCAAAAATTTCTTAAATTGCAAAATATTTTTCTATAATTATTAGTACAACTTCATACAAAGTACAAAAAAAGCAAAAATATTTTCATTTCGAAAATTATTAAAATTAGATTATTGCTCTTTTATTTCGTAATATCAAATAAAAAGTACATCATTTTCTTCAAGTGATTAATTTAGTCAAATTATTTGCATTTTAAGTTGACTACTTTAAACATTTCAAATTGTAAATATGAGCTACTAAATAATTTTATTCCTTTGAATATCAAAATTTTTCTGTAAATAATTGTGTGTATAGTTCATTCATATATATACACATCACAACACATATTTAAAATTTTTTATTTACAAAAGAAGTCCTTTGTAAACAAATGAATACCACTAGCAAAGTAGAAATGAAAACAAAGATCCTAAATATATATTATATGTACTCTAAAATTTATGAAGTAATATACAAAAATTTACATACATATTTTATATTTTTTTTCCAAAAAAAGGATCTAAATTCGAATTAGTTCTTGCTTTTATAAACCATAGAATATGTTTATAGGTAGTATACAGCACCTTTAGAGCAATAATATTATAACAGGAAATGTCGTAAGAATGAGACAATAGTGATACGAAATGCATGCTTTAATACCTTCTATACTATGTGTGTTATTGTAAATTAATTGATGGAACCAGAAATAACAAAATTAATATTCTTGAGCTATCTTTTATAGTCTCGAATAGTGTAGAACGTTTGAACACATAACACCATTTCCACTCATCCTTTAACTGACATTTAAACTTTGTTCAATGTTCATAATTAGCAGTACACAGTTAGTGATATGACAATAACTTTACAATGACTTTAAAGATGGTTTCAAATAATTTTAAAAACAGCTTTAATACAATTTAGCTGCAGTATCAAAACTTTTAAAATACAATAATACCATAATTTTTTATTTAGATATAAAAACAGTTTTATGTTACAGGTGCTATGCACACATTTCCATCACTATTATAATTTATAAGTAATTATGATATATGTAAATATTAGGTTATGTATTACCCACATACATATACATAATTTGGTAATGAATAAATATCTATATAACCTACAAAATAATGAAATAACTCAAACCAAATATATGTAATATAATATAGACTCCCTTATAATTTATAAAATGTATTATATAATAATAATTTACTTACCTTGTGCATTTGTTGAATTTTTCAATTCAGATTGACTATTTTCAAAATTATTTTCTAATTGTAATTGATTTTGAACATTTACCGATTGATACAATGGATTTTTATGGCATATAATATTATTAATTGAATTTCCAATATTTTGATCAACATCATCATTACTAAATTCTGATTCAGAATATTTTGTTGAGGAACCTAAAAGAACATCACATGGTAAACTATTGAATTCATTATTTGATGATGGTGGTATTGAATTTAAATTTTTATTATTAAGATTATTGCTATTCGAACGATTATATTGATGATGATGTTGATGATGTTGATTATGATGTGGATGATGATGATGTCGTATTGGTGCATCTAATTCATCATTATCTAAATTATTTAATTCATAAGTATTAGGACATACTGAAAATAAAGCAAAAGCATATTAAAAGATTATTATTAGTACAGCTAAATGTATGTGTGTTTATATATGTATATATATGATATAAGAAAAGGATATAACAAAGGTTATAATTATATATGATATTTTATATAATATTATGATCCCCTTAAAATATTGACCGCTTAAGGGTCACCAAAACATTATACTGTATACAGTTATACAGTATGTATGTATTTTATATAACAATGTATAGCATATTTGAAAGTAAATAAAAATTTAATATCCGCATTCTATAAATTTGAATTGAATTATGTCTGTAATTTTAATATTTAACAAGGGTTTTTATTTTGGTCTTTTTATAAACAAAAAATAAATTCATAGTAAGGATATGTGAACAAAATTTAAATATTTCTTTATAAAGGAATAGAAATTTTTTGAAAATTTCGTAATGTTTATTCAAAGTATCATGTATTAGATAACACTATATACTTTAAAAGTGGAAAATTTTTGTTCGGAAATTTAAAATAAAGAAATTTTTGTATAAATGTAAATCTGAAGTAAAAATTTGTTAGACATTTAATAGTTTAGTTAATTCTAAAATGATTTTTATTAAATTTTTCATTCAAGTATAACATTATTGTAGAAAAAAATCAATTTCCGCAAGCGTAAATACGTTAAATTTGTTTAAATAATAAATTTGTTCAATAAAAATTGTTTAGAATTTTCAGAAAAAATTTGAAAAATTATTCAAAAACTTAATTTAATCGAGATATCAACAATCACGGACATCCCAGGATAACAAATATATTCACATTATATGCATTATATCTCAAGATTTTCATTTTCATTATTTGCATTATTTTCATATAAACAAACCATAAAATTTATAATGTATCCCTCCTAAATCTCATAAAATTAACATCGATTTTGTATACTTAGTAATTCTTAAGAATCATTCAAATATATTTTTGTTTTTAAATATATTTTATTTATATGCAAGTTATTAAACTATCTTGATTCGATTATAAAAAAATAATTTTATTTCACACAATGTCACAACTATTACTTAAAAATTAAATTTTACAATTACTTAAATTCGAATTGATAGTTTAATTATAATATTCTATTCTTATTAACACCAATTTTAGACTAAATCATATCTTAAAATCTAACAGTATTTATAGTAATTAAAATTAAGTTCGTTTCCGGCCTCGTGCAAAATTATAGACGTTTCGTCAGCATTTTTGATGGGAACGATAATTTCGTAATTTCTTCATGTTTAAACATGTTCGATTGCAGACGCTGTGTCAGCAATTTTCATGTGAACAGAAATTAGTATCGTACTGAAGATGTAATTTGATACCACTTGAATATGTAACTAAAGACGGTGATAACTCCTCCCCCTTCAAAGATCTGCGTCCCGTAGATCAAGCTGGAATTTTGGTGCTTCTATGACTGAAATTTGCGGAATCTCTATAGTAGGAACCACTGTTGGAGTGCGTTTTCTCACAACCTTGCTGATGTTTTTCTTGATGACCCAAATGATGATGACTGCAATGATGACGAGTCCTATAGTAATATCGGATGCTATAGAGAGTTGGCTCCTTGGTATTAGCTTCTGAAGTTGTTTTGTGTTGCTGATATGAAGATCGTGAATGTAGTCGAGGCTTAGCTTGATATCTCCTTCTTTTAAATTTTCTTGAAGAACAGGTGGTAAAACTTGCGACGTGGTGGCAGATTCGCTTGTAAATTTCTGACCTTTTATGTGAACGGTTTCGTTGGTATGCTGTATCATAAAGCTTCCAGTTAAGTGTTTGCTCGTGTTGCCACTTGTTAGCTCCCCATTGAAATTATTGAGAAAGATGATATTTTCACTTATGGTTTCTATGATTTCTTCCTTATTGTATTGAAGGCTGCAACTGGCGTTTATTCCCTTTAGCAGTTGATACATACAGTGTCCTTCGTCCAGTTTTCGAATTTTACTTCTTTCGCATATGGTGATGTTTCTTAAATTCTCGCATTTTGTCGATATGCCATATACGTCATCTTTCACGAGAAGTTCCTGATATTCGAGGTAGACTTGTTGGGAGTTTCGGATTGTTGATCTCGCTATAATGTGGTCATAGTACTGGTTGCCTGTCTTCGGTATTGATAATATGTAGAGAATTTCTCGTCCATTGGTTACTACCTGTGGTTTTGCGTATTCTATTGCCTCAATTTCGTTGACGTAGGGTAGTGTATCGATCTCCTTCAGTATTTTTTGGATTTCAATCCTGCTAAGAAGATTTGTGTTGACAATTCCATTTTTTGCTAATTCTGTCGCTAACACGATTTCTCCCAAGGCTTCTTTTATGATTCCAAGTTTGTTAAATATTATTTGTTCGGATCGATGATCTAAGTTCCCTACATGTTCCAAAATGTGGTTAAATCTTTCTACTACTTGGTTTGTTATCCTCATAACTTCACGATTTATTTTGTACTGTTGATTATTATTTTGTATCAGCTTGTCTTGGCTTGTAACGATGTTGTCCCAGTCTGTGGCGTCTGGTGTTCCTGCCAGCCATTTCCATGCTGTACCAATCCAGTTTATTGACCGTTGAACTCTTGATTTGCTGCTTCTCAATTTAGTCAGAAATTCCATTATTTGAGCCAGTTGGTGTTCTAACTGTGGTTTCATTATGCTGGTCGAGTTGATTCCATCAACCAAAGGAATGATTTGTTGTATAACCTCGTCATAGCTCTTTAAATCAATGATGTGCACCAAATTGAAATTTCCTTCCAAGATTTGACCTTGTCCTTGTTTAATGGTTGCTATTGCGCCTTTGAATTCGAAGATTTTCGGAAATGCTGTAATTCTAGTGACTGCTAGTCTAAAAAGAAACCTAAGGTTTTGATTATTAACATAATATTCTAATGTTATATGTTCTTGATGTGTGATTTATGGATTCTTTTTCCGGAAGCGGTAATAATGGTAGCTTTATTGTTTTTTGCCACAATCTCTTTCTTGTATATCGGTTTGTGCTTTGCCTTGATTTGCTTGTCTCGAACGTAAATTGTTTCACCTATTGGATAGTTTTTAGGTTCGTCTCTTTTGTTGTTTTCTCTCTTTAATTTCGTTTTCTGATTTTTCTCGATGCGTTCTGTGAGTTCATTATTAATCTTTATTCTTGCTTCGATGAGATTCTGATAGGATGTTCCACTTGGTCTGCCGAAAAAAACGTCGCTGGGCTTCATTTTTGTTACAGAGTGTATTGAATTGTTGTAGCGATCTACTGCTAAGTTGATGATTTCTTTTTGGCAAAGTTGCGGGTATTCTTTCTGAAGACATCTTACTATTTCGATAATAGTTGAATGCACCCTTTCGATTGTCCCGTTTACCTCGCTTTTTTGTGATGGTGTGGTGTAGATTTCTATTCCCAAAGCCCTGATGTAGTTCAGTGTTATAGGGCTCACGAAGCTGCGCTCATTGTCGAATATAATCATTTTCGGGACGGTAAAATAGTGTAATACCTTCGTTATTTTGTCCCTTAGATGAATAGCTGATCGATCCTTGATTCTGAAGAATTTCGCAAATTTAGAGAACTTGTCGACGCATGATATATACTTCTCTCCCTGTATCTCCATCAAGTCCATGTGCAATATCTGTGTTGGATATTTAGGTACTGGAGTTTCTTGCAACTGCGGTTTATGTGGTCGCCTATCGTATTTGTTGCTGCTGCAGATATCACAAGTTTTAGTATATTGTTTTATTAAACTGCTCATATGTGGGAAGTAATATTTTGCTAGTATTTGCTTTCTGTTTTCCTCTGAATTTCGGTGTGCTCGCTTATGTTCGCTCTCGATTATGCTGAATTTCCTTTCCTCTAGAGCTACGTCTTCCACTATGCTTTGCGTTATACGGATTTTGAATCTGTTAAAGTGATCCCTAAAGACCTTCTGCAGTATGCGGATGTAGCATTCTGGGATCTTTATTCCATTCACGAGGTTAGGATTTAATCTTTCTTTCAGTATTTTCGTGAGGGTTCCTTCATTTATTTCTGGTAGATCGATGTAATGCCTGTGGTACCTTGGATGTGGTTCTTCGTGTGCTTCTATGTATTTTCCTTGTCTTATAATGATTTGATTCTGGAAGACATTTATCGGCGTCTCGCAGTGGGGTATGAGATCAGAACTGTCCTCCTCGCCACTATGTGCTGTTTCCGTTACGCTGTCCTCATCTGAACTGCTTGCCGTTTCGGTCGAGCTTGTTGATAAGCTGTTTACTTCGGTTGGCAGCCTGGATAGTGCATCCGCGACAACATTTGTTCTCCCAGGCTTATATATCAGCTCGTAGTTATATTCCTCAATTTTTGATTTCCATCTTTTGAGCTTTGCATTATGATTCCTATTACTCAAGGTGAAAGTGAGTGGTTGGTGATCTGTAAGTATCTTGATTTTGTTAGCCCCATACAAATAATTTCGCAAGTTGTCTAATGCCCATACTATCGCCAACATTTCCTTTTCATTTGTGGCGTAGTTTTCTTCCGTGGTATTGAGCGATCTGGAAATGTACGTAATTGGCTTATCTTTTCCAATCTCACCTTGTGATAACACCGCTCCAATAGCTGTGTCGGAAGCATCGGTTGTTAGGATGAACGGCTTCTCGAAATTTGGAAATATTAGGACTTCTGAAGATATAAGTAATTCTTTCAGCCTGTTAAATGCCTTTAACTCTTCTGCATTCAATTTGATTCCAACTTTCTTAGATTGATTGGCCTTTATTTGTGCGTTTTCGCCTCTTGTTAAGCTCGTTAGTGGTTTCGCCACTTTTGCAAAATCTTGAATAAATCTGCGATAATATGATGTGAGTCCCAAGAATGATTTTAGGTCCTTCAAATTTGTCGGTGGCATGATGTTCTGAATGGCCGCCACTTTTCTGGGATCGGGTTTGATTCCTTCGCTTGTGACTATATATCCAAGAAATTCTGTCTCGGTGTTGAAGAATTTTGTTTTTTCCAGGTTGACCTTCAGGTTAGCTTTT